TCCAGTTCTAATATAACCTGTCTTTGAAAATTGTGTTTGCCGTTTGAAACGTCTACGTGATTAATTTGACTTGGCTCGCACTTACTTGCGCATTCGCTAACTACATGTCCTTTCTCGCCGCAGTTAAAACAAGTGCCTTTCTCTCGCTTAGGCTGTTTACATTCCTTTGACATGTGACCGAACTTGCTACAATTAAAACACCTTATTCTAAGTTTCGTTGTACCCGGATCCTCCGCTGTCTCTCCCTTGGACGTCATCTCCTTCTTCGTCTGCGTTCGTATTCCTTTTTGATCCTTACTCCATGGCTTGAAATCGTTTCCAGACCGATCTTTGAACTCCATCAAGTTGATATTTTCGAAGGCAGCCAATAATTCAAACTTCGATTCGAACTGCTGCAACCTGGCTTGATTTCGGAATTGTACGTTGGATATGCCGTCGATGATGTATTCCACCAGTTCTTCTTCGATCACTGGAACGCGATTCGCCAAGATGTTTTTTTCGTGGTAATATGCACTGAAACTTTCGTTAGCTTTTCACGACCTTTCTTCGAACTGCTTTCTTCTTTTCAACCTACTTTGCCGATGGTCGAACATTTTCTTCATTTCTGTCAATATGCAGTATACACTTGATTCGATATGTTCTGGACGGGAACGGAACCATTCTAACGCTTTTCCTCTAAGTCGCATTCCCAATAGGATCTTAGAGTTCTCATCCAAATGGTATGTCTGTATCAACAGCTTCGCTTGCTTTTCCCAATTTTGGAACAAGCTTTCCGAACCATCGAATTCACTTAACAGCTCACTTACTGCCTTGACGTTAACCCTCGACTGTTCTTCCTGTCTACTTATCCGGTCACTCGTTCCACTTCTCAATAGTTGATTTTCTCTCTCTGCTACCCGAAGCTCCCTTTCCAGTAGCCGTCGCTCTCTCGATAGATGCTCTAATTCTCTCAACAATTCTGCGGCCTTCCATTGTCGATGGTAGCCTCCGTTTACAATGGTGAGTTTTCGTTAATTACGCTATCCGCAATGGCCGATACAGCACTCGCTTTGTCTGTCTCCCCCTCTTCTATTTCACGCATCCATTTGCCCTCGGGATCCGCCGTTTGCAATCTTACTATCAATTCCGCTTTTTTTCCCACCGTACTCAGGTTCCGTTTTTGCAATTGCTCCTTCAGTACAGCGACCTTGTACTTACTCGGGTCTGGCATAATTGAAGCTTTAATGTTACACTCACAATTTACACAAAATGGCTACGGGTTCTGTCCTCGTACAATACGGCCGTTTTGCTTACGTGTCGCTTCCAATGCTCTCGCTCAGCGTTCTCGCACTCGATTTTCGTACTTCAGCCACTTCTGATATCGAAATTCGTATCGGTGCTCGAAGTAATCCCACTTCTGATATTGTAAGGATGGGCCGAAAAATCAGAAGAGTATTCGGTAAACTGTGTGACCACTTTTACTTTCGTTCTTACAATGTCCGCGTACCCTTTTTCTTGTGGCGCCGCTACCGTTCGTCTCGCGGAACATCTAGGTAACTACGGATCACTCCTTACCGATAGTGCCCCATGGCGTGACAACGTCTCGTACTACACTATGTTGAGCTTAACTTTTTTAATTTTTTCCTAAAAACATAATAATTTCGTAATCCTAAAGACTGTAAAATGTGCGGCAAATTGAGATATCTGTCATATAGAAATATACAGTAATTCCTGAATTACTTAGCTGTCAACTGCTGCAGCGCCCCTGCAACAATTTTTGACAGCTGAGGAATATATCGATATTTCAGAAATTATTTTATATGATTTGTCGGGCAGATATCTCAGTTTGCCGCATATTTTACAGGTTTCAGAATTACAAAATTATATTCTTAAGAAAAAAATAAAGCTAGTGTCATTGTTGTATACTGCTTTTATCAATATTTAAATAAAAAAATGTTGCAAACACATTTTTTTAGACCGATTGTATTTTAGCACTTGTTTTAGATTGATTTTAAGAAGGTAACGAATAGTTACTTTTTAAATAACGGTAACTATAAGAGTTACGTTATTGGAAAAGTAACTATTCCTTATCTTCTTAAAATTTAAAAATCATTGATAACAATTTGTTATAATACTTTTTTTGATTCCGTAACGGGTAACTATAACTTGTTGCTATAAAAAAATAACTTTCTATTCTTTAAAAATTAATTATATGTTTTTATTTACAGAGTACACAATTTACTTGGTCGGTTTATAGTGCGTCATGGATTTGTGAATCGCAAAAAGTGAAAAGTAATATTTTTATGATACTTCAAGGAAGCCAAAAACCGATTTTAATATCTATGAATGGTTTGTTACCTGCCCTCACATTAGAATATTTTGCGAGTGTAAGTCTTTTAAAATTATATATTATTTTCATGTCTTTTTGCTACAATATATTTTAAAAAGTTTGTATTACATTCACAGTTCCTAACTTCGGTTTTGTCGTATTTTATGACAATGAGAGCAGTGATTACCACGTAAATTGATAAATACATTTATTTACACTACAATACATGTTACATCAAATTTAAAATAATTAGTACATTTTATATATATATATATATATATATATATAAACAGAAAATAATAAAATAGATATTATTATATACTCGTATATGAGACATTCCATATCAACCGTATCATCTGCGTGCCCAAAAATCAATGAAAATAAACGTTGAAAGTGACAAATTATTCATATGTGCATGTACTTTCGAAAGAAATGTACCGTTTTGAGAGATTCAATATAGCGCAGAGAAGTGATGAACATCGCACGCAAATGTAACATTTTCTTGCTTAAACTACTGTACTGATCCCTCAGTTCGAGCGACTCCCCACTGTGCTGGTAGGGGACGGCTACCCCGACTTCAAACGCCCGGTGGCACGGCACCGTGAGGGGGAGCTTGCTCCCTGCCCGTGCGGGTAGGTGGGAATCGATCCTCACTGCCGTCGGAGGATCACGTGGGGCGTTTCCCCGGTTTTCGGGAGTGGCGGGGTGGTTCCCTCGGGGACTCCGACGGTGGAAGAGTCGACGCGGGTGCTCCCGCAGGCATGCTGCCCGACCACTGTGGGTGCTCCCGGTGGCGGGCGTGGCGCATGCTAAGGGCAGGACAACTCCCAAGGGTCCGAGAGTCTCTCGGTCCATTGCACTGGGAGGGACTCCTGTCCCGTGAGGTGCGGACTTGTACGTAGGGGAGGGCGAGGGGCCGTTCGGACTTATTCCGAGGCAGGGTCCTCGCCTCTCTCGGAGAGGGTGGTGCGCAGCCGCTCGGACTTATTCCGAGGCAGGGCGCACCCTCAGTCCCCGGGCCGCTCGGACGTATTCCGTGGTCGGGGCCAGGGGCAGACGTAGTAGCCCGGTGTTCTCGCGACGGCGCCCCTTCCGAAGCGGGGCACCGGGCGGCGGACTTTATGCCGGTCGCCACGGCGGCTAGGGTCCGGAGGGGGCGCCGCCTCCGTGACCTGAACCATCCGTGGGGCCACCCGTCGGAGTGGCGTCGCTCGTAGCGGTGCCCGCGATGTCGGAGACGCGGGACCCCCGAAAGCCGTGAGTGGACTTGCACTCCGCTCACGGTGAGTAAGGGGCTCGGAGACCAGTGCCCCGGATGTTTATTCCCGGGGCCCATGTCATATGCGAGCCTCCCGGGGGAACTCGAGGCCCCCGTCCGGGTCATGTTTTCGGACGGGCGAGGG